TAGGGTTTTCTTGGCAAGATTTGTTCAGAGGGAGTTTCCCATTGCCTTCCTCTGTGGCTGAATGTGACTTGGTCAAGATAACCCATTGAATTTCCATGGCTGAATAGCAATTTGAATACTGGTCTCCAGGGTCCTAGTCCAATATGCAAACCACTATACCACCCTGGCTCTCAACAGCTTTGAATGTTACTTAAGAAGATACAGAGACATTCATGGAGATTATTGTACACTCTTTTCTCCTGAGCTGGGCACAAGTGCAAAGCATATAAAAACCAGCTCAGAGGCATCGCGTACCCAATCCAGACTTCTCCTGAACTTTGCAAAGAATGGGAAAGTCCTGTTCTTTGTGAAGTCCATATCAGGTATGCAATGTCTCCAAAGTGGGCATGGAGGCATGAGAAAACATCTGTTTTTAAGCACTTTAAACCTGTGCCCAGCCCAGGAGAAAAACATGTTGAATAATCTCCCATAACTGAATAGTAGTAGGAGATACATTGTATCTCAGAGCTTCATATTCCACTGTTCTTCAGTTATGAATGGGTTCAACATTCTATTGTTTGTATTCTTCTTAAAAGGAGCAATGCAAACACTTACTTGAGCAATCACAATACTCAGTTTAAACATTTTGAAAGATGCCCCTAATTAATTAGTTAGATAGACTTTAATATTTTTATGCATGTTTATTAAATGCAGCTGCTGGCAAAAGCCACTTTAAAAGAGGCATTATTTCCAGTGTGATCAAGAATAGGGAATACCTCTTCAAAGATTAATCTTGCTGTGATATGTATGAACACCATTTTGAAAAATGATATTTTTCTGTTGTGAACAGATTTATACAGAGTTGATTGAATCCTTAACTGAGTACTATTGAGATTTTTTTGGGGTGGTGGTGGCGGCAGTGTATTATTTTAATGTTCAGATTGCATTGCCTATTCTTAGGCTAAGAATTTGGATTTTCTTTCTTTTCCTTTCTATTGGCACCAAGAAGCAGCCCAAAAGAGTTTCACAGATCACCAGAGCAGGATTTTAAGGTGCACAGTAGGAATTAGGGTCTTTTGTAATCCTGTGGAAGCAGAGTCCAACAGAAGAACATCCCTGGATAATAGCTACATTTGGGAAGGCAAATCCAAAGTTGCAGCTGAGTAGGAAAATTTGAAATTGGTACAAATGTCTTGGGAAGGTATGAGGAAGAATTTCTCAGACAAGCTTGAATGTTTCTGAGATAGCTTATTTTCTTACATGTTTACACTCTTCATATTCAGACTATTATATATTTTTTTCCAAATCAGCATTGAGAGATTGTTGCCTGGCTTGCTGGATTCCACCTACACAGCACACACACTGTGTGATCACTTGTGAAGCC